GAATGTGTAAGATCTGGAAAAACCGAAGTGAACGGAGAAGTTCATGGAGGTAGGCCTAGGCCCACTGGGGCTGTAGTGCCAAGGAAAAAAAACTGGGCGCATCAACCGCTCTTCATGTTTTTTACTAACAATAATTATTTTAGAAAGACTTCTTAAGGTGTCTGAACAGCGGCATCTTGATGCAACTAAATATATGATGTTTAGACGACCGTCATGAATGACATACGTGTTTAAGTGCTACATTTTCAGTAAACTCTGAGACAGAACCAACTGTTTCAGAGCTGTTCCATCACAATCACCGACAGAATTCGGTTATGGGCAGCACAATGAACACGTTCAGTATTTGGTTATATGTTGTCCATTCTAACTTGGACTCCCGACTATAAAATTATTGTATTTTTTTGCGCCATTGTACGCTTGACCGCGACATTAATTCAAATTTCGCTTTCAACTTAATTAACAATTTCAACTGTAATCGAATAAAATTTGTATCGAAAACTTCACGAAGTCCAAGGAATGATTCCGTGATTTCAAAGTTAAGAGAAAGTCTGTTGAAGACAGTTTCTACTTTCACACGTCGAAATATAACTCATTTGACCTACTTTTGAAATGTTTAGTGTTGCATCTATTCCCAGCATTTTAGAGAACTCGAAGGTTCATTACCGTGTTCACAAGAGCCCTCCACTGGTTCCTATCCTGAGCCAGAGCAATCCAATCCATACCATCCTATCTCTCTAAGATTCATTTTAATATTGTCCACCCACCTACGACTTGGTCTTCCCAGTGGTCTCTTTCTTTCTGGCTTTTCCCCCAATATCCTATATGCATTTCTCGTCTCCCCATTCGTGCTACATGCCCTGCCAACCTCATTCTCCTTGACTTGACCATTCTAATTATATTTGGAGAAGAGTACAAGTTATGAAGCTCCTCATTATAGTGTTGTATCTATAGAAAAAGAAAAGTGTTGTATTTATGTTATCAGTAATTTATTTTTATTCTTTCAGCAACTACACTGAATAATGTACGATTTGAGGTTCTCATAGCGGTGGACACGAACAGTTCCCTCTTCTGGGATACAAAGCCCTCAACAGACTACGTCACGTTATATCCCAAAAGACAGAATTATTTATATTTAATCACCTCTCTTGAATTTTAAAATTATTCGTGAGTAAGAGTCCGACTTTCCCCCTTTGCATGTGTACAAAACTGAATAATATTTTTTCTAACAGCTGAATATCAGAATGAAAATTACCGCTAACATGTTTATGAAACTTCCTCCACTAAACAAATTTTCCAAAATTTTAGGACATTATTGCGTACATACGCAGTTTCTCAGAAATTTCTTAACGAGTTTCTCTGCTTGTATCTGATTATGTTTCATTTACATTTAAATAAATTGCAACACTTCACTTTTTGTCATAGGTAAGCTCGTACCTGAACAACCTGCTTCTTCTCTGTTACTTATATTATCATTACGGCACAAACAGTCATCATTATTTGAATAACCTGTTCCGCTAATTTCACCTACACCTTCATCACTACTTCAACAATCCACTTCTTCACTTGTACATATGAGTTTATCACTTTAAAGAATCCACTTTTGGCAAATTTGAAAGAATTTTTTCTTCTCCTTTTTTACTTTCTTCCACGCTTTGGTGGAGATATTTTCATCTGTCAAGGGAGAAATTATTTAAACATTAAATTAATACACTGCCTGACTGCATCAAGATCTGCTACTAACCTCCGTTTCTCTAATTACCTTCCAAACATAGGTCTTTTAAAAATTATCACAAATATGAAGAATGTGACACCGTGCAGATGTGGTGTTAACCGACGTTTCGGAGGAGACTGGTGTCTGCTTGTACCGGTTCTCGCGGTCTCTTCGCTTGAGGATTTTCTTATTTTTCCTTCTACCCAGAAGATGGAGGCGCTACGCTCCTCCGAAACGTCGGTTAACACATCTACATGGTGCCACATCCCAGAAGACTGCTTTCTTCATAGTCACCGCCGTGAAAACCTCAAATGTATCACACATATGTTTCTGTAGTAGCATAAAATTGCCAATGGCCGCTTCCTGAAATATAAACAGGTTCTAGCATCGTCCAGTCAGGAACTATTAAATGGCGCCATCACCGAAGTCCTGACCTGAGAAGTATTACGTATATACGTATTTAATGCTTGTGGCACAAATGAATTCTCCAAACTAAAATGAGCTAGGCCAGTGCCATTACATGGGACTGTAAAAAGCTATGAACTTGATGAGTAAATATGGAATTATATTACTATATTTATGTTGCATTATTACTTAAGGATAGGACCTCAGGCCCGGGGTGCCCTGGTACGTTGCACTGCCTGCCGCCCCCCCCCCCNCCGGTAATTTCTAAAACAATCTCATGAACTTAAATGCTTAAATTTCAATAATTATAGAAAAATAGCTGGTTGAAATCAGAGGAAAAGGGGAAAATGAAAATGTTAATACAGGAATTATATTTGTTACATCTGATGGCATAAAAACGCCTCAGTCTCAGAACATCATTATTTGGGTGGAACAGCAAATCTAAACTTTTACTACAATATGCAGCAATTTAACTAACGTATATTTAGCCGGTTACGGCAGCCGAGCGGTCTAAGGCATGCACTGTCTTCGCTCGATCGGAAGCCGGGATCGTGGGTTCGAATCCTAGTCAGGGCATGGATCTTTAGTGTTTGTGTATGAGATCACCCGCCCAAGGAGTCCTACCGAATTTCTAAGATCTAATAAACCGAAGTGAAACGGAGAGTTTCATAGAGGTAAGCCAAGGCCCAAATTGGGGCTGTAGCGCCAAAGTAAAAATATATTTAGGTAACAAAAAATTTAAATAAGTTATGAGTAGTGTCTCACTAATTAAGGAAATGTCTGTAGGGAGTCTGTGCCACAGAAGTAATAACGCCAACAACATCAGTGAAATGGTTCTTAACAGTTTTAACAGACGACAAAGTTATTTTAGTGTAAGTGTACAGGCTCTAAAGACGAAGAAAGGCATTTCCCGAAAGACTGAAGCTCTATCTCATATATTCCTGTTTATCAGCTAACATTACACAGATGAGCAATAGTAGTAAATGTACATTCCAACTGATCATATTATTTATGTTGCTGAAGAGGCATGAAACTGAAAGAAGGCCTATACAAACACAGCGTACTCAAATATCTTATGGTCTTCAAGAAGAAGTGAATTCAAGCATTTCATAGTGTCCACATGGGTTAAGTCTATTGGTTCAAGACACACCACTTTACTCAGCTGGTTCTCAGATAGCTTCTAGGAGGCTGAAGAAGGGTCCGTATGTGTCAGTGCTCAAACGTTCCTTACCACTATAACTCATTAAAAGCATGCACATGCATTTATAGTATAAGTAAGAGGCTTCCGAAATTATGATGACAAAATGTGTATTTTTTCTCACAATAGGTTAACGACAGTATTCGAACGAGTGCTCGCACATCTCATTTCCATTCACGCGCAATTGTAACACGGGGAAATCGCTTAGAATTATAAAAATAACTAACGCACCAACAAACAGATAACGGCAGCGGGGGCAGTAACAATGTTAATATCAATAATAATAATAATAATAATAATAATAATAATAATAATAATAACAACAGTAAAAACAATTCACTTTTTGAGAAATTGTGACATTCTCATTTATGTCATAAAGAACATATTTATTTCATTATATCATATAATCGTTATGGGCCGGGATAGCGCAGTCGGTATAGCAACTGGCTACGACCTGGACGACCGAGGAGTCGGAGTTTGAGTCCCGGTAAGATCAAGAATTTTCTCTTCTCCACGTCGTAAAGACCGGCTTTCAGGCCCACTCGGCTTCCTATCCAGTGTGTACCGGAGGCACTTTCCCTGGGGGTAAAGCGGCAGGGACGTGAATCTGACCACTCATTTCCAGCTAGTGCCGAGGTCAGGAAAATGCGGATCAATACGTCCACTTCCCCATACGCCTTCATGGCACAGAGACAACTTTACTTTTATCATATAATCATTATTCTACATGCTACCAATTTTGGTAAGCAGTGGCCCCAAAGAAAGGACGAGGAAAGAAGCAGATTTCTCGGTTCTATCTAGCAAGTAATGCAGGCTTCACAATTAAACTCTATGAGATGGAACCACTCACTCACTCACTCACTCACTCACTCACTCACTCACTCATGGAACTGAGCCCTTCTTGAGAAGCTTTCAATTGTGCAGCTACTCAAGAAATTCCCAGCATTCTATGGAGCCCGAAGGTTCATTAACGTGTTCACAAGAGTACTCCATTTGCCCCAATCGCAAGCCAGATCAATGCAATCCACATCATCCCATCCTATCTCTCTAAGATCCGTTTTAATATTGTCCACCCACCTACGTCTTGGTCTTCCCAGTGGTCTCCCTCCTTCCGGCTTTCCCATCAATAATCTATAAGCTTTCCTCATCTCCCCATTCGTGCTACATGCCCTGCCCATCACATCCTCCTTGACTTTATCATTCTAATTATACATGGAGAAGAGTGCAAGTTATGAAACTCATCATTATTCAGTTTTCTTCAACCTCCTGTCACTTCATCTCTCTTCTGTCCAAATATCCTCCTCAACACCCTGTTCTCGAACATTCTCAGTCTATGTTCCTCCTTTAAAGCCAGAGACCAAGATTCACACCCAAAATGGAACCACTGCTCTACCCTGTTCTCGAACATTCTCAGTTCATGTTCATCCTTTAAAGCCAGAGACCAAGATTCACACCCAAAATGGAACCACTGCTCTACCCTGTTCTCGAACATTCTCAGTTCATGTTCATCCTTTAAAGCCAGAGACCAAGATTCACACCCAAAATGGAACCACTGCTCTACATGATACGCAAAATAATCTGGCACCCATGTAACTTCAACCTGCCTTCTTTATGCTGAAATTAAGTTGCTGAGGAATATTCTTTCAAGTGATGGGAACAACGTTCTAATGAAATAACAGTCCATACCTGGGCCTCTCCCAAGCCGAGCTCGATCATTTCCAGCGACTTCTGCACAAGCCCTGTCTTCTCTTCGACGACGCTAGCATCTCCAGCGCCTCCTGAAGTAACTCCACCGCTGCTGACATTTTGCTGCTGTATGGCCTGCTGAGCTTTCTCGACAACCGACACTGCTAGCTCAAGGCTCGAAGTAAGGCCGTTCAAGATGGAGTTATGTTCGTTCTTCAGCGCTTCTAGACCCTGAACCACCGTTTTGGTGTTCGTCATGATCTCTTCTTGCGTCATCTGGGTCATCTTGCCGATAGACTCTATCTTCTTCCTGTAACAACAAGACCTCATGAGCAAACCACGTAACTCATTACTTAATTTTAAAAATCACAGGTTTATCTGTCAACAGATTTTTTAATTTCCTAATTTCGCCGTTACTGTTACGAAAATGATTGACCTGGCCACAAAACCATGTATTTGTTATAAGTTTAGGGTAGCCGCACTCAGAAAATGTTCGAATGTACTGTTCTACATGAGTATGTGGGTATCAGTAAATGTGCAGACAAATTTTGCGTGGGAAACCTTATGGGTAGAATTTTTCAAATTTACAAATCGGCCAGCATCATCACCTCACAACCAGTCAGTTGTTTCTCTCAAACCTACTGATTTAAAAAAGTATACTTATTTACACTGTAGCGTGTAAAGCTGCTTCTAGGCAACGGCTCGGTAAACACGTTCCCGCGAAAACGGATACTAATGCAACAACAGAGGTACTGTTGGAAACGATGTTTTCTACTGAGTCCGTGCAAAGACGTTATAAGGAGGATATATGAAGTAAGAAGAGGTAGATGGAAGTGTGCCGTCCTTCAAAGAGAACTTAAGCACGGAAGCAGTGGAACAGCGACTGTTGGAGCCGTTAGCAGGAGACGTCTGGTAACAGAACACTAGTCTGTGTGCTCTAGTTATTTGTAAAGTGGTAAATAAATCCAATACCTAACCCCAAACTCTGTCTATATTCACTGCACACACGTGACACTATATACCGATATGAGTGCTTTTAGCCCGTACATGTGTACGTACATACAATTCCTCATTTACACGAAAGTTCCGCCTTTTAACTTTTCATATCAACCTGCGAGGTTTCTTGGGGCACGCGGTAGCGTAGTGGTCGCGGGTTCAAGTCCCGATGAGGTCACTGGATTTTTTCAGTTGACCTAGGGTTTACTCAGCATCTAACAGAAATGAGTACCAGGAATTAATTAAATAATTTTCCTGGGGAGTAAAGCGCGGCCGGCACGTAAGGCTGACAACCTTACCGCCATCTTTGAGCCGATTGTCTAGATAGTGTGGGAAACTCAACGTCTCACAACCCTATGGGCCTTCACGGCCTGTTACAGGGATAGCTTTACTTTTACCTTTTTTTTTTTTTTTTACCTGCGAGGTTTCTTAAAAATATATCTCCTAATCCCACTGTGAAGGCATTCATTTCATTGCCATTTGTGGGCATTGTGCTCATTATGTGAGTGTCTGATTTTTGGGCTTCATCTGCTGGGGTCACATAATGTCGAATTGAAGATGATGATTATGGTAGATAGGTAAGCTTTAGGAAGGTGGCGACTGAATGCTTGTTTCGAAACTTCCCTGGGAACAATGATACAAATCAAGCAAAACTTCAACAGCGTGCTTCATGCATATAACAGCTACAAAAACCAATTCCATTTAATAATAAAAAATCACACACAGCGACGCTCTTGTCTGCAATTTCATATGGCGGCAATGGTAATAATGCTATATTGCAAAGATATGGGGAAGTATTTATCTTTCTAAGGCACTAATCCGGTATGTATCTGAAAACAAGAAAACAATCCCTGTCAAGACAGCTGGTCTCCGTGCCGAGCTATGCACCCTATGCCGTCCAAAATAATAGGTATTAATCAAAACTAAAAGCGACGTTCGGTTCTAACTTGACTTTCTTAATTTATGATACAACTGTCACTCCATTCTTCCTGATGACTGTACATGCTCGGCAAAGGGCTATTTGATGGAACATTTTCCCAACCCGTCCCACAGCGATCCATAATTAACTTAAGTCTGGAGCGGATCTCTTGTTGACACGGCGGAGCAGATGTTTGCGCTCTAATGAGATGGGTATGGCTCTCTCCAGCACAAGAAACCTGACCTGAAATCTGTACACCCACATCACACGACAGACCTTAATACAAACTCGCATTTCATCACCACAGGCCCCATGAACATCGAGCCTAAATTCTATAGATAACACAGTCGAACATAAAACATTAAATCTAAAATTCGCAGGAAAAAATCAAGATCATGCCAGACAGGAAAAGGAAGAAGAGATACAAACATAATTTTGGTACACGTTTCTCAAAATTTGTTATTTATGATCCTGCATACACCAATGACAATGATAGTAATTTATGTAGCCGAACACAGCCTACGAGTACACTGCTATGGAACTAACCACACCACATCCCAAGTCGGCAGTCACAGGAGACTTCGCTTATTTGATAAAAATACGGAAAATGTTGCTGCAAATAGCGTTTGTAATCTCAAGTGCTGGAATCCATTACCTAAGACACGCCGTTACTGTGCTACACTTTTAATATACTGTCACGTGTTCGGAGTTAACGTGACTAATAATAATTGGTTATGATTTTGATGACTGGGTTTATTGGCTCTTCTTTACAATTACAATCAATTATAACAGTTCACACACTGAATTCCTTCTGAACGACGTCTGATGAAACTCTACGAAAAATCTCTCAGTGCTGCCTGAATCTCCTTGGACTGGTCTCTACTACGCGAATTGAATCTGAGTCTGAGTCAGTCTCATTTTACGACTGACGGTCAGTCGGCCAGTCTGTCTTGGCATAAAGCACCCATCTGGGGCTTGCGACCAGATCTTTATTACTGGTTGACAGTTACGGTCGTGGTTTTGTTTGTGGGCGCCCTCTCTGATGAGAGGACGGGTCTGTCTTTTGTACACGTATATGCTGCTAGTCCTTGCCAGCGCATTCTTTCTCGGGTCCGAGTTCCTTCGCACTCGAGACCATACGTTACTGTCTCAAATTTGAGACTTCCCTTTTCGTTGCCTCCTACGACTCGCAGGTACTACTCAAATTCATGAATTCAATGCCTTTTACAGCCACCACGCGGCCGGCATAGAAGTCACCATATCGACCAGTTCCTCTGTTCTGTTGCGTTGTCACGGGAATGCCTTTGTTAACATTCGTTGTCTCGGAAGCCATGTTTTAATTCTCAAGCAACGGTTTGGTTTTCTAAGTGTTATCCGCCGCTACGAAACATCTCGTGTACAGCAACTTGCCACCTAGCAAGGGCCCGTTCGCTGTTATTCGTTGTAAATGGAACGTGATTTCCGATCCGTTGCTCAGCGATGGATACACACATTACAGTATCACAGTATTAAGTTACAGCGATGAAGCCACGGTGACATGAAGGTGAAATGTGTATACGTTCCCAGGGTAAGGGGAGGCGGTAGTAAAGAGATACGACACGAAACAGGAATAGTAAAACCACTGAATTTTCATGTATTCGTACAGAAACAACGCTGCAGTGCGGCAAAACTGTTGCAAAGTCCAGAAAACCACACATGAGTAAGGAACACCATAAAGGTTTGTATAATCACTACATTAAGTGCTTCAGGCTGGTATCCGTCTTGTTGCTCACACACAGGGCGCCGAAAGCAATAGCGTGAACTTCGCAATTCCGTTGGAGTAGTGGTTGACACCAGTTTGAACACTTTAACGTAATGAATTTACTACATACCTTTATGGGGTTCCATAAGCAGCTGTGGTTTCGTAGATTTGCCACAGCTGCCCACACTTCAACACTGTTTCTCTACGAATTCATTAAAATACAACGGTTTCCTTCATTATTCCTGTTTCATGTATCCTGTATCATGTATCATGTATTCCTGTACCTGTATCTCCTTCACTGTCTCTTCCCCCTGCCCTACATATATAGCCCCACTGGCCGACATCTCACCTTGGCAACGTCGATATAAGATTTACTATTCATGCCTAAAGGACATAACGCCGCAACGACTCGTCCTAGCAGGAAAAAATGATTCGCAACAACTTCTCCCTTTACCCGCAGAACATTTCAACAACAGACCACCAACAGACCATCAACATGCCGAGACATATCAATAACAGACCACCAACCGGCCGAGACAGTCCAATAAGAGACCACCAACCGGCAGAGCCAGTTCAACAACTGCCCACCAACAGGCCGATACAGTTCAACAACAGACCACAAACCGGCCGATACAGTCCAATAACAGGCCACCAACATGCCGAGACAGTTCAACAATAGACCACCAACCGGCCGAGGCAGTCCAACAACAGACCAAAAACCGGCCGAGCCCGTTCAATAACAGTACATAAACCGGCCGAGATAATTCAGAATCTCATACTCCTTTTTGGACGAAAGAAAACTAGAACTGCATAGTAATACGGCAGTAACACAACCGGTTGTCAGAGGCTTAATTTATACCGGTACAAATATTAAACTACAAGTTACACTTTTACATAGGGGTATAAAATCCTTTCATTCTGTGACACCAATTCCTGCCTGTCTCCTCGCTACGTCCACTGTTCTTTGCTTACTTTAGGTTCATCATTTCATGTTTCGCCAACTGTCTTACACGATTTGACTGACACTCAATTCTTTAATGCACGGAGATACTAAAAGGGCGTCATATAATATAACAGTAGTCTCAATTCAGGTCCCGACGCTTGCAAAAAATGTTAAGGCAATATTATCAACATATAATGCAATATTTTGGTCTGGCAGTTTCAAAAATGCATGTTTACGAATACAAACAGCATTAACACATCGCAACTTTGTGGAATACGGAATGCTTTTGCGGGACTGGGATCGAGGCAACGACGTAACCATCTTACACCAATGAAAATTATAAACAGTGATGTCATAAAACATCCAAAATCATCGGTAAATATGGATTTTAATATTACCGTCATAAACTGTGAGATCCTCCACTGCCCCTCGAGTCTTCCGGACTGTAAAGAGCAAATGAATAACAGAAACGGCAGAGAGCAGGGACCCGAAGTCTATTCATCTCTTACTTATTTATCCTTACTCTCTTCTATCAAAGTTCCAACGTTGCTGTCTTCTGTTCTTTCTTATTCACATTTCGTTTTTCCACGAACAAAAAGTGAAGGGGAGAGTCTGTAAAGTGCAATGTGCAGACAGAAGTGGATATGAGCAGGTGGAAATCCTAGCAATACACTTGGGCTAGAAAGTGCCTTAATGAGCAAAACAAGTAAG